AGTTCAACAAAAAGGGGAAGTTCCAACCCCGCAGAGCTGGAGCTGAGGTTCAGGTCAGGGGCGCTAACCGCGCGCACCCCCCATCCCCCCGCACCCCCGCCCTCGGCCGCGTGGCTCCGCGGTCAATAAACCTTTGTTGGGTGAATGCATTGCTTTTTTCCTTAATAACTGATCTTTAACACTGTTAAAGATCACGTACCTGAGCGGGTGGTTTAGGGGGGCTGCGACCCTTAGTGGCTGCTCCCACAGTTCCTGCAGGCCTGGCATCTCCATGGGACAGCACTGGCCGTCATTTCAGAAGTTCATTTTTACTTTTTTTTTTTTTTTGGACATAATGGAGAGGTGGGGGAACCAGAAACTACTGAGAGAGATTAGAGCTGATTAAAATGCTAAGCTCCAAAATTCTATGCGTTTACCATATAAATAAAACTGAATTTGTATTTTAAAGGGGTGCATATACTATAATTCCCAGGAGGTCAAACTCATCAATATTAAACAAGTCCCTATTGTTGCCGCCTGCAAAAAGGAGAAACAAAGGAAGCACCCTTGGCCCAAACACTGAAATCAATGTCATGCTATAAATCACCGCTTTCCCAAGCAGAGCCCTGAAGACAAACTTTGTCCTTGCTTTTATTTTAAAAGTTTGCAACAGTTCACCGTGAGGGAGTTTGCTAGCATTCTGGCTTCAGTGTGAATGTTGAATTTCCATTCGTGGTAAACCCTGTTGCTAGTTTAATTACTTAGGAAATTTTGTTAACCTATATTTAAAAAGCATTTTTAAACATCATGGGTATTTTCAAAAGCGCCAAGCAGTGCATTAAAATAAGATTAAAGTCACATTATTCAATAATGTGCTAAGTATTGAAGTTAGAATTTCACTGTCGAGCACTTTGAAATGACAGAATAACTATCCAACATGTTAGTTTTTTTAAAGTAAGCCCAAAGGAACAATTTAAATGCAGCAAGCAAACTTTTTTTGCATACTGTGAACCAACATTTTAAACTTCCCCCTTTAACCATTGTTATCAATTTTTTTTAAAATGGTCTTATAAGTCTTTGATGTTAAAGCATAGGTAGCAATAATTACTGGCCTTTTCCAAGTATTTTCTTTAAAATATATAACATAAATGCGGGTGGCCAGTTGTCCTGATGTGGCCCTTCTGAGTAAGTGTTTTGGAGACATGGACTTTATAACTTTGCTGGGGTCTGTTTCAGCGTCTGAGCAATCCCGGGAGTGCTTGGAAAGCTTTGTTCCCCCTCTTTTCAAGGCCGCTGTCTTCTCGAAGCCAGGCTCCTCAGACAGCACAATCTGTCTGAGGCTGTTAGGATTTTCTGCTGCTTTGACTGCTGAGACGCTGTGAGTCTTAATATTTGCTGTTTCTTTAACAGGACATCATCGATGGTGAGCTATTTGTTTCCTTGCTGTTTTCCTCTGTGATATATTCTACAAGTTCCAGAGACAAGAGGAGAAAGGAAGGCCTGGAGGGAAGAAGAGAGGGAAGGAGAGAGGAGACTGCTGATTTTTTTGTTCACAACCTTTGAAGCGACGTGAAACAATAGATGACAGCTGTGTACAAGGTCACATGTGACAAAGCTCTACTGCACGCAAAGGCTTATGTGAAACTCCCAAGTGTGGGTATCAAATGTAGGTAGATACTCTCGGCCCAGTTTAATTCACGAACACGCTCAGACTAAGAGATTTGTCCGAGGCCACATAGCAGCAGAGGCCATACTTAAACCTACGAATTTAGATCCCAAATTCTTTATAACAAACAACACTACACAGTTGACTCTTTCAGGGACTGGTAAGGGCATCGTGAAGGCAAACTGCAAAGGCTTGCAAAGCATTCCTTGGAGGTTAGTCGTCCCAAAATGCCTGGAACGTGGCTTAAACTTAACTTCCATTCGAGCAAGAAAGACTATCATATTGCAAAAACTTGTTTGACAAATAATTAAAGATCTGAGTTTGTGCCCAGCTACATACTAGGTCCCAGGACACAGAAGAGAAATATGCAAAAGTGGCCAACCTCTGTGTTTGAGGATGTAATCTAGCGTTTTTGTTGGTTAAAGTCTTCAGTATTAGCATCCCAAAAAGGTCACAAAAACTGTATATAAAATATAATGCAGTGCTACTCCTTTTCCAACAGTGAGAACTGGATCTGGACTTTAAAGATAACATAAAAAAAAAAAANGCAGTGCTACTCCTTTTCCAACAGTGAGAACTGGATCTGGACTTTAAAGATAACATTAAAAAAAAACACACACACAAAAAAACACACAACTAGATTGGCAAACTTTGAACAAATGATGTTGAACTCCAGTTCATAATATGTATATGTGGACACAAAGTAAACATACAGATCTTCACATCTTACTCTAAAATGCATCAAATAAATAATACACCTTACTGGATGGATAGTATGGACAGATTTGTAATCAAGCAGCTACAGTAAATGTTTAATTATATAACTTAGGGGATGGATATATGGGTGTTGCTGTAAAATTCATTCAACTTTTCTGTATATTTGGAACTTTTCACGCGAAAATGTTGAATGGGAAAGTGGGTTGCAAAAAAATGCGTGACTTTTCGGGCTTCTTTGAAATTAAAATCATATAATGGCTGTTGGCACTCAATAAACACTCAATGAGNAAATTAAAATCATATAATGGCTGTTGGCACTCAATAAAAACTCAATGAATGAGCAGCCCTCGCTTCGCCCTTACCGACCTGTGTGTCTGAGTCACGCATCCTTTCTTTTGCTCTTCCTTTGGCTCTCCTTGTCTTCCATCACTTTCTCAGTTCCGTGTCTCTCAACACTGAAATGTTTTTGAATCTTGTTTGTTGTTTTTTTTAGTTTATCTCTCTGCTTAACCTTGGTGGATTGTTCGAGAATCTCCAATAAAACCATCAGCTTGCATTTTAGTTATGCAGTTCCTCTTTTCTCCGGCAGGGGAATGAACTTCTCCTAAAAGACAGCTCTGCCTGACATCAGCTACTAAGACTACCTCCCAAACCCCACCTCTCAGTCCTGACTTCCATCTACGCTCCAGACACCCGAAGTACCACCCTGGCCCCCACTCAAACCCCATACCTCACCCTCCTTTATTTTTTCATTCAGTAAAAGCACCACAATCTCTCCAGTTGTCCAGACCAGGCTTGTTGCTGACCCTCCCTCTCCCCTACTCCCCACATTTTACCAGTCGCAGAGACATCTCAAGGCTTCCTTCTTAATGTGTCAAATCCATTCATATTTCCCATCCCAACTGCCCTTCTCCTGCTTCCCTCCCACCCCACCTCCTACTCCCATTGTTTTCTCTCATTATCATCAGTACCTCTCCACTGGGGTGATGATTTTGCTCCCCAGGGGAAATCTGGCACTGTCAGGGGACAGTTTTGGTTATCACAAAGGGAAAGTGGCACCAGGGATGCTGCTAAACATAACGCATAAGACACCAGCCCCCCCCCCAAACTAAGAATGATCCAGCCCCAAATGTCAACAGTGCTGTGGTTGAGACACTTGCTTTACCCTGAAGCCTCTCACCAGAGCCAACAGTCAAGAAACTGTTCACCGAATGAGTGCAAAATACAGATTCTTTCAAAATTATATTTCTCACTTAAGCTAAGTCAGAAACTTGA